GAGTTTTGTAAAGAAAATATAATTAACAATTGACTGCTTGGTAGAATTCATTTGAGAAACAATTTGGTCCTTGGTTTATCTTTGCTGAAAGGCTTTTGTTTCTCCAGTCTCTTTGTCATTGGTCATTCAAATTTTCTATTTCTTCCTGATTCAGCCTTGGTTATATTTTCCTAGAAGTTTACTAATTTCTCTAAATTATCCCATTTTCTGGTAGATAATTGTGTATAGTTGTCCCTTATGAACATTTTTTTAAATTTCAGGAAACTAAAATTTCTGATTTTACCAATTGATTTTCTGATTTCTTCCTTGAATTTCTGATTTTTTTTATGGAATTTCTTTTCTGATTTTACTTATGTGAGTCTTTTCATTATTTAACTAGAGATTTTGTTTTTATCTACTTTTCAAAGAAGCAATTTTTGGTGTTATTGGTTTTTTTCTGTGGCTTTTCCTTTCTCTCATTGCTTTATTTCTTTTCTGATCTTTACAACTTTCTTCCTCTGCTAACCTTGGGCTTAGCTTGCTCTTCTTTTTCCTCGCTTGCTGAGGTGCTGCAGCGAACCTGTCACCACTGAAGAAGCAAGTAGTGCTCAGAGAAGGGGAGGGACCAGTTTATGATGCCAGCAGACTGAGAGGAGCATGGTGCCCCAAAGCCTGGCCCCCCAGCATCTCTCCTTCTTTCTTTACTTAGGGGTTTTAGGTGGGAACGTGTAGACTGAGTTACAAAAGCAGAAAAGGCATGGTTAGACAGTTGTTTTATGCTAACCAGCCATTTCAGTCTTCAATTTCACTTTCCCAAAGTTTTATTCTCTTCATCATTTACTCCCTTTGATGCCATGTATAGTCCTATAGGGCATCACCATCTCCCAGGGAGCTATATGGGTACAGTGCCATGATCCAGGCAGTGGCCCTCCTAGTGACTGCAGTCTCTATGAATCATGAAGGTGCTCAGGAGACAAGGCCCTATTGTAACAAGTAACAGGATGTTCAGCAGTGGCCCCTCTAGGTGCAGGAACTGTATTATCCGTTGGCCTGGGATCCAATTCCAGTCTTTTAGTTCTTTCCTTCTCTGCTGGAGCATATCTCTCAATCCCCTGACCTTTGTGGTGACCCCCTGGCTGGTTTACATAATAGCAGCATTCTTCTCCTAGGAAGATGAATGTGCCTCCCTTCTCTGTGGTGAGAAGGTCTAGGGCACGCCTGTTTTGTAGGGTTACAGCTGCCAGTGAATTAACCTGGCTTTGGGGAGAGAATGGTGAGTCAGCCACCTGTTCCATGTCATCGTTTAGTTCCCAGGATAGCTGATAGGATAGCCCTACTGATTTCCCTGATTCCTCCTAACCAGCCCCAAACCCTGTGGCTGTTCCTGAGCTAATTAAAGCTGAGGCTAACAAAGCTCTTTTCCTGCGTGAGTTGCTGCCAGGGTGCAGGACCACCTCCATCTTGTAGTCTGTATAGATGGAGATTTCAGGAGTGAGGAAAACCTGGACACATGTGCTCTTCCAGTTTACGCACAGGCAAGGATAAGCTGTTTCCCCACATAAGTGGAACACTGGGGGCGGCATGGGGGTCTCATTATCTGGCAGCATCTGATTGTGGCAGCAGATTGAGTAGTATATGGACCCCAGGAACCCACTCTTTAGACCAGTTTGGGAGCTATGAAGGCACCCATGTTGGCCCTTGAGCTGTCAAGGTGGACCCTGTTGGCCGCTGGCCCTATCAATGTGCTCATGTGTAGTTCTAGGGATTTCTCAGGAGGCTCCAGTTGGCTGGACTGGGGTTCCTATGTGGGTCCTTCTGTGAAGGGGCAGGCACAGCCAACAGAACTGGGGTCCCACAATGTGAAGCAGAGTGAAGGTGGTATTTAAGAGTCTGTACATCTGAGGGGCAAGGTGGTAAACTGGGTCAGCCGGTAGAGGCTGGGTAGACCTATACACCCATAGGGTTGTTGTTCTTCTCGGCCCGTTTGCCAGCTGTTTAAAACCTCCTTCACTTGTTCTTTGTGTGCCGTGTCTTGTACTAACTTCCCCATCAGACATGCCCAATGGGTCACATAGGTCCAACAGTGATTTTTCCATATTGATTGTAACAGGTCGACCTGTTGGGCCTGGGGTTTGACCAGACCAGAAGAGTATACCCTTGGGACTGTGGTTACTAGCACAACGGCATAAGGTGGCCTTCTGGTAGCAATTGACTAGAATGCAGGTACAGGAGCTGGACCCAGGAATACAGCTTCTGCTCATGATCACTGGGTCATATAGGCTTCAGGCACAGGACAGGTGTAGGTTAGGTGGTCATTACTGCCTAGCAAATCTTTGGCTGAAGAACCAACAGCTGGGGCCACATACTGTGGCCAGCAGGACTAAGATTTTAAGTGGAGGTAGTCGGGAGTAGGGGATGGGGATCAGTAGATGGCTAGGAAGAAGAAGATGATACCAGTTAAGCACCCTAACCCTAAGAAGAAGGTTAGGGCCAGCAGACACCTTTCCTCTTGTGTCCATCCAACTGGCTGGGTTGACCTCAACTGGAGCTACAGCAAACAGCAAAGTTACAGATTCAAGGGTTGCTGAGAACCAGGGATGACAATTCATTACCATCAGAACTTACTGGGGATAGTTTCCCATGAACGACATCCTCAGGCTTCTGCGGTGCATAGACTAGTCAGCCCCTGCTCTCTAGAGCAAGGCCATTATCTCTTGGTGGTGTCCTTGGGATCATGTTGTGTCCAGGTGGCCTTCGCTGGAGTGGCTTTTTCAGGAGGTCTTGCAGGTTTGCATGAACAGTCCAGGTGACTGAGGAGTCTTCGGGGTAAGTCTTTGTCAGCCTTGAAAGTGTACCCAAGGGATGACACCTGCCACTTTTAACAGCAGTCATGGTAATAAGCACAACAGTGTGAGGCCTTGTCGTTTGTTTGTTTTGCCTTATAGACACCGAGCAGCCCCAGTCTCTCCAGGTGTCCAAATGCAGCCTCAAGCTCCCATCCTGGCTCTCCTCCCAACCACGGGGCTTGGTCTGTACTCTCCATGCATGTGTATTGGAGTCCTCATTCTCTGTGACTATGTCTCTCCTGTTGGACGAGGGCTCTGAAAGCCCTTTTTATGTCCCTTTAATGATGCCTGCATCACATCTCAACTGCACAAACCTGGAAGGCCTGGGATTAATGGGATATGTGTTATCTAGTGCAGCAAAACAGTGGCCTTACAATGGGAATACATGTATAGTTTTATAGTTTTTCTTTAAGTTAGCAGCCCCCTTACAACTTTTGTCTCCTTTGTATTTTATTGGAGGTGGGGAGGGGCACTATCTTGGCTTTGAGCACCTAACTTTTCCTGTGCTCTGCGTGTCTGCCCTCCCTCTGATCCTTCCATGTAAGTCCCAATGCCATTTAGTATTTTTTGATCTGGTTTTCCTTTTCTATCTTTGTCTTTTTAATTGCTCTCTCCAGTAAGTTTTGGCTTTTTTTTAGTCAGGATTATCCAAAAAGCCTAATGAGGGCTTTGTTTTATATTTTCCCTGCCTACAGGCTGCTTTCCCCTAAAGGGGGAAACCATTTATGCCCTAGGCCTCAGGAAGAGACTTTTTCTAAAGAAAAGAGGTAACTTCCAAAGTTCTATTTTGTAATGTCAACTACAACATCATATAAATATTTGTTCACTTAGTGGTGTTTCATAAGTCCTGCTGGTTTTTATTAGTCTTCAATTCATTTGTTTTTTCTTCACCTCTGTTAATACAAAAGATCAGTCTTCCAGTTCAGGAATTCTTTCTTCTGCTTATCTGCTATTGAAATTCTCAGTATATTTTTTATTTCATTCATTGAATTCTTCAGCTCCATGATTTCTCTTCATTTTAAATTGTTATTATATGTAATTTATTACAGAATTTCTCATACTGATCCTCAATTGTTTTAATTTCACTGAATTATCTATCTGTATTCTCTTATATCATTGAATTTCCTTAAGATTTCTGTTTTAAAGTCTGTTTCAGGGAATTCATAAATTTTCATTTCTTTGGAGTGAGTTACTAGAGAATATATAAAATGCTACAATCATCAACTATCTAATTATCTAAACTTAATCTTCCTACCCAGTTGCTCCCAGAGCTTTCAAGGAAACCAAAAGCAAATCTACACAAAGCACCACCCAAAAGGTGTTGGGGTTTTAGCTCAGCGGCAAAGTGCCTGCCTGGCAAGCACAAGGTCGTGAGTTCGGTTCCCAGTACCGGAGAAAAACCAAAAAAAAACAAAAACAAAGCAACACCCAAAGACATCCCTAGTAGCCTAGTGGATAATAGCTTTTGAGATTGTGGATAGATACCATCTATCTTAGGTGGATTCCTCTAGCAGCTCAAGCCCCTCCGTAAGCTTGGTAGACTCCATGATCTCTTCACAATGTGTTTGGGGAAACTAAGTCAAAGAGGCCAAAGTTCCTCACAGAGCTCTGTGTAAAGGAGAGAAGAGACAGCATGAGGAGCTGAAATCCACAGGAAGCGGGAGTCTGAGGAAGAGTTACCCTTCAGTGCCCTTCCTCCACTGAGGACCTGGAGCAGCAGAACCCTTTTGAGTACCCAGAAACATACAGGAGATTGGCATGGTGTTTCTCTTCATTTGTGCATGTGCTGCTAAAGCCATTTTAATTTGATATTGAGGAAAATGGTGATCAAACAGCTGGAAGTCTTGGGAGTGCACAGGTAGCTGACATGTGGGCTTTGCGTTCATGGTGCTGGAGTGAGGAGGTTGGACACAGAAGCAGATCCACTCCTTGGAAGGAACTGTTGAGTGAGGCAATGTGCACAGGGGCTCAGAGGAGGTATGACTCTGCCATGAGGGGATGCACAGGGATTGGGGTGTGCTGACATTTAATCTCGACTCTGAGGATACAAGTGATGTGACCATAAGGCATGTTAGTGTGAGCTGCAGCACATTCCCAGTCATAAATATATAAGCCTGTTTAATGGGTTTGCTTGGGACTTTCTTTATGATATTTTAAATGACCACAAAGGCAAAGTAGTTTGGAAATATGAATGTTTATTGTCATGAATATCTGTGCCAAAGAGATTGTAGAGTTGCTAAAGTCAAGTGATCCACCTATATATGTTTTCTTCTCTCTTTTGGGAAAAGTTGCAGTGATCACTCCAGTGTGGGTTGCCTGGGCTTGTCTCTCTGTAGTTCCAGTAGTTCATTCTCCAGGGACAGCTTATACACCTCCAGGGCCATTTTCACATCCTCCAGGCTCGGCAGGCACTGCATGAGCTTTCTGCCTGCGACCACTTGCTCGCAGCCTTCGGGGACCTCCTAAAAGAGACAGTGACAGGTGTTGTAGAGAGGATTCTCTGTGGTCATGGAGGGGATGCATCCTGACAATGGCACAACTACAGATGAGGGCTGAGACCAGGTCTGACCGGTGGTTAAGCAGGGAAAACCAGAAGTCCTACTGGGCCCTGGCAAAGTTTTCCCCAGAAGACATAGTTGTGTTCTGAGAGAGTAACCTAAATAAAGGGGGTAGAGGCCATTTCTGCTGAGCACCCACAAGTAGGATAACTGTATATTATATGACTTAGAAAAAATGTTTAGGAAATAGTACTCCCAAGCCTATGGGACCCTAGTCTCAAAGGTACTCGTTTTTCCTGTTCTTGAAAACAGGGAAATTGCCACCTCTACCTAACTAAGCAGTGAGTCAAAAAAAAAAAAAAGAGTTTGTTTGAGGGAGTCAGAAATGCTTCTTGACAAATCATATGTCACCATTCATTGCGGGGATAGTGCTTTATAGGAGAGCACTGTGTCTGACAGTATGGAACGGCCTGAGTTGTCTCACTTACCCAGTCACACTTGGGCACCTCTGGGTACCAGGTTCCATTTCCAGAGCAAGTGATACTTCGGGAACCCACCACTCCAAAGCCAGAGTCACAAAAGATGGTGACATTTTCAGATTCAATATACTTAGGTTTATTCACAGACAGCTTTCCATTTTCTATCTTCGGTTCCAGACACAGAGCTACAATGGAAAATATTTTAGGCAATCTATAAATCTAAGAAAAAAGACACGATAATAGTCTAAGGTAATAAGAGTGAGTTATATTTAGGTGCTACTTATTATTATATCTTTTCTTTCATGTCGATAGCAATATTTTTAAGGATGACTACCTATCAGATTTTAGATTTTATGTCATGATCTCACTTAATCTCACAGTACACTATGAAATAAATATCATTTATCCCCATTGTAAAGGAAAGAATTTGAGGTAAATAAGGTAAGAAACTTGTGAATGTCATAAAGGTTTTCAATAAAGTGATGGAATGTAAATAAATACATATGACCCCAGATTCTTAGCCATCGTGGTAAATATCCCTTGCACACTCAACTTGACCCTTTCTGTCCCCTCAACAGGCTGCACATTAAAAGTCTTTCTCACATACACCCCACGCCACAGCAGCTGGTGCCCTGCACATGGCTCTGAGGAAATACCTGTTACTTTGGGAAGTCTGGAATTAGCTCAGGAGCCTACAGCACCCCTCTTCTAGATGATGCTAGAACACGTTTTCTTGAGGATTTTACACAGATTTACTGGTACACACATATAGAATGGGATGCCTATAAAGTAGGTTCGGAAATAAAAACAAGAAATGAGGAACGGGGCTGAATCAAGAAGGCTGGATTCCACGATTGGGAGAAACTGCAGGAATGTCACATTTATCTATATTCTTTGTATTGTTTGTATAGGATACCATCTGTGCATATTAATTATTTGAACTAAGTACAGTGAAATCAAATGTTTTTGTGCTGCCTCTGGCAGGGAAGAACATTGTGCTGGATTCTCTTGTGACAGCTTCACCCGCTTGGTTGTGGGCTAAAAAGGAGCAAAGTTACCTTTGCATAGGGGAGCTTCAGGCGACCAGTGTGAAGAACTACAGGTGAGTTTCGCTTGTCCAACCAGACCATATCCTTCATCACATTCATATGCAACCTCATATTTGAAGATATTGTATGCATTGACTCGTTTATGATGTCCATGGGCAATGCTAGGAGGCGAAGGGCAACCTTGATGATAAGACATGAAAGTGAGAGAGTGTGAGTTTGTAGAGCATGTGAAGTAGCACAGCCCAGGACCTATCTGGTTTGTAGACAGCTTTGTTCTACCACCCATCTTCTCTGTCCATAAGGTCATTCCTGCTGCCTGTCTGCAAGCTTTGCAGTGAGGAGCTGCAGCGCCTGGACTTTCCTTCACTTCCCTGACATGTGCATTCAACTTTACCTTGCTATCTTTTCATGAAGGCTGAATTCATTCTTCAGTTACATCATATGAGTGGTGCCCTCAATCCATTTCAAGCTAAATGCAAAGATGTACATTGGTGAGAAAGTAAAAAGATGTGAAATCATTCCATAATCTCAGAGCCCTTGCTCTCCGGTCAAAACTATGCACCCGTCCACCATGAAAATACTGCATTTTAGAACATTTTAGAAGAAAGCTCATAGGAGGAGCAAAAACACTGACTTACACATTAAGAGAAGAAATAGATGTCAGAACACTGCTCTGAAAGAGACCATTGTCATGGCCACAAGCAATGCATGAGAAATTTAAATAAAATAGAGCAGAATGTCAGACACAGTACTAAACTAATATAAGATTTCTTCTTATAGCTGGAACCAAGCATCAGTTATTTCCCAAGCATGTATTTACTAGAAATAAAAGTTAAAAATGTTTTCCCACTTATGAGTATTTAGAAACCTTTCTTTTGGCCTTTCTAGTGGGTACTTCAACCTTAACTATCATTTTCTTATAGAAACTCTCTTTATAGGCTAATCAATCCACCAAGCAATTGGTCCCAAGTAGGTTGGACACGTGTCCAGTCTGCACCTGTGCTCACATCATCTCTCCTACATGCAGTGCCACTCTGTTTTTTCTGTCTGCTACTCCAGGCCCATTTGCTCCGAGAAGGCTTCTGCTACTTCTCAGCAAACAGACATTATTTAGTTCTCAACATCTTACAGCAGTTATTAGACACTATATATCACAGACAACTATTTTTTGTTATCTTAGTAAAACCTTGACATTGTATACCACACACCGTGTGTGCATATATATATATATATATATATATATATATATATATGGCATGTATATTATTTACATTTTATCTGTACATGCATAATATATACTATCTCTGTTATGTATTTAAATGTACAATATGTATACTATGCATTCTATGGCAATATGTGTATCATATGATATGTATATAGCCTTAGATATTTCTAATATATGTGTGCAGGTATGGGTGTGTGTGTGTGTGTGTAGGTGTAAAATGTAAGAACTGGACACAATGTATCCATAATCCAGACACTTCAAATGTATTTTCTCCTCCCAGCTACCACAATACTATTAAGAGATGTACATTATCAGCTTCCCCACCTTTTAGAGATGACAACATATCTTTGGAGGAATTCAGTGTCTTGCTCCAGCCAAAGCAACTACTGAGAGGTGGAACTGAGGTCTGGTTTGCTCAAAAGCCCATATTCACTATGGCTTTGATCTATATTCTCCAAGTACTACTTATATTACCTGAATTTATAATTTGTTTTGTTTTGAAAGCAGAGAATGTGTGTCCGTGATCTCTGTCTCTGTCTTTGACGTTATAGGTCCCAAATAAATGCCAACCTGTGTACAAGTTTAAGGTTTATGGGTGGACTCTCCTAAATATCAAATGAAACACATCCATGAGGAAAAGGCCTTTTCTGAATTGATCCATAAATATTTCTATAATTCCTCCTATCAGGCTCAGCAGACCAGGAGCCATGTCCTCCTAACACTGTGAGAGATCTCAGACCTGACCACGCGGGTAGTAAAACCACAGCACTGTTCAGTTTGAACTCATGTGAGAGGCATAGGGGGAGGCAAGAAGGGTCAGGAGGAGAGGGACAGAGCCAAGGGGGAAAGGGGCAAGACAGCATATTCTTAGGAGACTGAAGTATATTCTGAGGTTTAGAAAAAAACTGCATAGAGGGTGAGATATGGGCAGGTTTTTAATGTTGGGATAATAGTTTGAGCAAAGGAAAAGTGACAGAAGTTTGATTTTGTAGAAGAAAAAAGAAGGTAACTCAAAAACCTGTCCAGACTGGTTCAGGTTGGGGCTGGGGATTTAGCTCAGTGGCAAAGTGCCTGCCTCACAAGTGCAGGGTTGTGAGATCAATTCCTGGTACCGGAAGAAAAACAAAAAACAAACAGACTGGTTCAGGTACACCTTATACAGCAGGTTGAGGAACAAGGACCATAGTGAGGTGGGCTTGAGGTATTGGAACAGTGAATAAATGCAGAGGAACCAGAAGGAATCTTGACAACTTTCAGTGGTTTGTTGAACAGTCTACCTCCCCCGTCTCAGACAAGAAAAGGAGCCCGGGCAGATCAGGGTAGTGAGAGGGCGGGAACAGGCTGGGGCTTTGGAATAATAACAACCGGGTTGTTTCTGTACCCAGGAGAGCAGAATCACCCAAGTTGAATGAATTCTTTTTCCTAACCTTTTAAAATGTCCTTTTAAATATTCCTTTAAAAATATTCATTATCTGAGTGTATAAAAATTCTAAGTAAAATACCTTAGAAAAACAGCTCTGAAGTCACTCTGCAGTATTAAGAAAGTTCCAAGTCTGGACAACTTTGGGTCATTCTGGGGCCCTAGAAATTTTGTCTTCACAAATTCTACCAATGTCTTTACCAGGATGACAAAGTTGTTTGTGCTTTGCATGGAATCAATCCATGCACCATCAGGATTGGAAACATGCCGGATATTGATCGAATATGGAACAAAACCTACATGGAGAGCAACAAAGCTTTTGGTGTACTCTTTCTTCCATTTCGAGTTGATTTTGAACTCTGTACAGAATGTTCTACTTTAAACACTGAAAGATGGTACAGAGGATATGTACCTAAATATTTCTAATAGTCTTAGAAAATTTTTCTCATGAAAAGAAACAGTATCAGAATAAAAATTTTTATTGGCACATTTCTCTTTAAAATTAAAACAATTACATCTGCATTAATGAGCATCCCTAGCCCAGTAGGAGCTGCAGGTCCTCAAATACTTTCACTAGGAACAACTATTCTCTAAATTACAATACTATGCCTCACACTTACACAATGGTTTCAGTTTATACAGAGATTTATAATTTAACTCTAGTAATTCACGCCTCATTCATAATATTATAAAATTTTACTTTCTTAAAGGCAAACATGTACTCAATCACCAACGCAGTAGGAAAAAAATGGCCTCACAGAAGAATTAATTATCGAAGAGTATTCATTTAGGTATAACCAAATAAATAACCAAATAAAAAGGCTTTGTTTTTACTGGATCAGTTCCTCAAGGATTTGTAATATTTAGCTTTGCAACTAGTTATAGCTTATTTTGAAAGGATGAAAACTATTTAGATGTAGTTCTTTAAAATGTGCTTCATTTCTGTAAAATTGTGTTGAATTATGAGCATTTGATCAATTCTCAGACAAGCGTTCTCTCCCTACCTTGGTTTAAACTCTCCCCCCTTTACACACAACCTTTGTACTCACCACACAGTACAGGTGGACACCACATTAAAGACAGGACCCCGAGAAGCCACAGTGCTGGTAAAATTCTCTGCAGTTTGGAGGGCATGGTGAAGAGACTCCGAGAGAAAGCACTGGGGCTCAGCATTCTCAGACGCTCTCAGTCAAGCTACCGTTGAAGCTCCAAATCACAAGTAATCTGATGCCTGGACCGAAAAACTGAGTCTTGGCAAGGTTATAGCAATGCGGCACAGGAGGGGGTGGGCTGGTGTTCAGTAGACCAGGTCAGGATGGGACCCGACCCAGGTCATCCAATAAAGCTCCAAGTCTAGGGGAGAAGGATCTGAGACTGCATGAGAAGACTCTGAGTGTCTGTGGCTGTTTAATCATAACTTCAAGACTTCCTCACTTTCTTTCCCATGACAACACAGGCACCGTTGACCTGTTATCTCCATGTACACTGCATTTCCTGGTCTGTGTGGCAGGTTCCTCAGGGAGGAGCTGAGATACCGTGGCACTGCCTTCCTCTGGTGGCAGACCTCAGTTACTAGAGTGACTACCTAGCAGGACACAGGGGGAAAAACATCTGCAAGTAAATTTTCATACCCCACAGCTTAATTGAACTAGAAGAAGCACACACATCTACTCATGGAAAGACAAAAGTGCAGTCCAAACAATTGCTCTCGCAACGTTTATGCTTTCTTGATTTATTTGCGACACTAAATTAATTACCTTTGGGGCTGTGCTCCTAGAGGGTAAAAAACAGATTCTTAGAGTGGTGTTTCCAGTGCAGATAAATCATTCATGGGAAAGTAAATAGTAGAGTACAAAGTCTTATTAATGGACAAAGTTTCATGATAACTTCAAAAGATTTTTTCAGTGGGATTGGGTTAGAGTGAAGGAACTTCCATTTTAATATTAATTACATTTTTGACAAAAGTACTAAGAAAGGAATTGTAGAAGGCACGCTTGTTAGCCCCAAGGCTTAGTTCCTGGCTATCTGAATGAAGACTGGTCCACTAATAGCTACCTGGATCTCAGGTGAATATTGCTTACTTTAGTCTCTGTGAAGCAGAAAGGTAACTTATCAACCTGTATCACGTTCTGTCACTTAGGTCAGCTGTAAATATTTGATATTGAAGATAGATGTTCCTCTAGAGATGACAGTGGCATTTTAAAATGTCTCAAGCTGGATGTGGTGGCACACTCCTGTAATCCCAGCCCTCAGGAGGCTGAGGCAGAAAGATCATTGAGAGTTCAAGGCCAACCTAGGCTACAAAGTGAGCTCAAGGCCAGCCTGCACTGCATAGCAAGACCCTGTCTCAAAAAGACCAAAAAAAAAAAAAAAAAAATTTAAAAAAAAGCCTCAAAATGAACTCCACTATCAAGCTGAGCTGACATGAGTGCACAAGGACATAACTGCTTAGCTCTTAGAAACAAGGAGGAACATTCTCCGGATGTAAATGAGTGAATTTGGGAATATTGATGACAGTGCAATTAAATTTCAACCTTTCTACAGAGAAAGGAAGCCAAACAAATGTACAATGTGGCTGCTTCATTTTATAAAGAGGAAGTAAAATAAATCTCAGTATGTAAGAAAAGTCATTAAAATAAATTTAAACAATATCATTTTAGAAACAGATTCTGCGTATTAATCATGTTCCAAACTTTTACATACAATATCACATATAATTTCTTAAAGCAAAATTGCAGTGTGGGTATTACTAGTCATGTTTTACAGATGATGAAACTAGTTCAGAAAGACTGAGTACACACTTGGTATCTTTGTTATCAGTGGATAAGGCAGGTCCTGAACTACTGTCTGAATCAAATCCCAAGCTCTTCTCACTATCACAATGACTAATTTTCATTGAACAAAACTAGACTGCAAAGGTTTTTTGTATGAGATCCTGAACCTTTCACATAGGAGAATGTACCTAGAAACTTTTGCTTATACTGTGGAAGAAAATACCACAGACTTCTTGCTCTCTCCAGAGACAAAATAAAATATGATCTACCATAAAAAATGTGGCTAAGTGTCTTAGTTTCCCAATAGGTTAAAGAAGAGTTTGGGACTAGAATGATCTCTTTGATATTTTCTTTTTCTTTCTTTCTTTTTTTTTTTTTTTTTTGTACAGGGAATTCAACTCAGGATCTTGTGCTTGCCAGGCAGGCACTTATGCCACTGAGTTATATCCTCAGCACTATGATATTTTCAACTTAGAAATTCTAAGTTTTTACATTGATGCCAAACAAGTGAAGAATAATAAGCATTTGTTTACTTGAATAAAGCACAAGGACAGAACCGGGGTTCAAATATTGAGGGATAAATCCCTACTCTTATAGACCAACTCACCATGAAAGAGCATATCCACATGTACAAATAGACAAAATATATGAATGGAAAAGGTCTTGCTATTAGCCTTAATCTGCTAAGATCAGTCCTTGAAATGATCTAAGTGCAAGAAATTTCTGTGTTAGGAAAGGATTATCATTATTTGAAGATAACATGATGTTCTACATAGAGCACTCCAAAAACTCCACCAAAAGACTTGTATATTTAATAACCAAATTCAGTAGTGTAGTTGGATACAAAATCAACACTCAAAAATCAATAGCATTCCTGTGCACAAACAACAAACCCACTGCGAGAGAAATTAGGGAAACCACACCCTTCACAGTAGCATCTAAAAGAAGGAAATATTTAGAGATCAATCTAACAAAGAAGGTAAAAAAGCTATACATTGAAAATTACAGTACTCTGAAAAAAGAGATCAGAGAGGATATCAGAATATGGAAAGATATCCCTTTCTCATGGATAGGAAGAACCAACATAGTGAAAATGGGCCTATTCCCAGAATTGTTATAAAGATTTAATACAATCTTAATCAAAATACCATTAGCATACCTCACAGAATTCGAGAAAACTTTCCTAAAATTCATTTGAAACCGGAAGAGACCTACAATAGTAAAAACAATTCTCAGCAACAAAGGCAAGGCAGGGGACATTGTAATTCCTGATCTGAAATTATACTACAGAGCTGTCACAACTCACTGGGTTCTTGCTGTACCCTAGCAAGAAACAGTGGCAAGAATGAGGAAAAGATAAACAAGAGACAAAAAGAGGGGATCAGGTAGAGTTCCTCTCTCTCCTGAGCAGAAGAGAGGAACTGCCCCAGAACAGTAGAGCATTTATTTATACTCTCAAGAGGTTGATACTAATTTCAGCCTCTCTGCCCAGCTATCAGTTAACAAGCTACAATGGCTTATTTACATTCTTTGAGGAGCTCCCATGTTCTTGGGCTGGCTTCGTCCTGCACATGTAATTACTTTCCAGCTTCAGCTGCTCCCAGCACAAAGCTACTGTGATAAAAACAGCATGGTAATAGCAAAAAGACAAACTTGAGGGACAGCGGAACAGATTAGAAGATGTAGAAACAACTCCAAATGCATTTTGCTGCCTTATCTTTGACAAAGGAGGAAGTCTGTTCACACACCAAAGACTAAAACTGGACCCATGTCTCTCACCATGCACTAAACTAAAATAGAAATAGGTCAAAAATCTATGTATTAAAACAGAAACCCTAAATCTGCTGAAAGAGAGAATAGGCAGAACTTTTGAAGATGGGTGTAGGCAAAGATTTCATGGGAAAAAAAAAAAAACCCAATTGCATGAGAAATAATACAAAGAATCAACGACTGGGATCTCATCCTATGAAAAAGCTTTTGCACAGCAAAAGAAATCACTGACAGAGTGAAAAGACAACCTTCACAATGGGAAAAAATTTTAGCTAGTTGTCCTTCAGACAGAAGACGTATATCTAGAACATGTAAAGAACTGAGAAAAATCAGACCCCCCAAATTTAAAGACCCAATCCAAAGACGGGCATCTGAAATGAATAGACACTTCTCAGATGAAGAAATACAAGTGACAAATAAATATATGAAAAAAAGTTCAGCATCACTGGTTATTGGAGAAATGCAAATAAAACAATGCTGAGATTACATGTCACTCCAGAAAGAATGGCTGTTATTAAGAAATCAACCAATAACGAATGCTGGTGGGGCTGCGGGGAAAAGGAACCCTTCTCCACTGTTGGTGGGAGTGCAGACTGGTGCAGCCACTGTGGAAATCAGTGTGGTGATTCATCAAAAAACTAGGATTAGAAGTTCCATTTGATCCAGCTATACATTTGGGTACTTCTTGGAAGAATTAAAAATGTCATGCCAAAGTAATACATGTGCATAAAACTTTACAGCAGTTTATAGCTACATCTTGAAAAGAGCCCAAATGCCCATCAATAAAGGAATGGGTAAAAAAAAAATTTTAAAATACAATGGAGTACTACTTTGCTATAAAGGAGGATAAACTGGAGACATTTCTAGGTAAACAAATGCAACTTGAAACATACTCTTAAGTGAAATAAATTGGACTCACATGTGTAAACATCATATTGTCTCCCTGGGGTGAGAAACTGAAAGAGTAAATAGGGAGCAAAATGTACAATAGATATTATAAAATGGGAAGAAATTGTTCAAAAGGAAACAGGAACTAGGGGGAGGGAAGGGGGAAAGCAAGGAAGGGAAAAGGAAAAAGAAAATTATTTAAAAGGATAAAATAGAAACAAAGCTTTGTAAATAGGGAGGAGAAGAAGGGTTGAAGGGAAGAGAGGGGACTGGAAAAAAGAGGAATCAAAATATATTGTGTACAGGTACAAATTCCCTATGATGAATATGATCATCATGTATATCTAAAACATACCAATAAAATTGATGTGAAAGGAAATTTATCTGAGGGGTCCTATACTCTTAGCATGCACTACCAAAGGCAGAAGTATGTAAACAGGAAAGAGAAGAAAGCAAATGAGTTTGCATTGATGAGAAAGTTACCTCTATGGACAACTGATGCTATCTCCCTGATGGGACCCCAATTAGGGTGTAGAACATGCCTCATGATATCTTACCGCTGGGTTCAGACCTGCAAACCCTGTTTGAGAGATGAATAAAGATCAGAGAGACAGAAAATATATATGGAGGGTCAGTGAACTCCACTGAAACAGAGGCCCGAGCTGACTCAAGCCCCCAGATTTACTGAGAAGCAACAAATATTGCACAGCAAATATTAAAAAAAATCAACAACTGGGATCTCATTTAAAAAAATTTTTGCACAGCAAAAGAAATTACCAACCAAGTAAAGAGACAGCTCACAGAGTGGGGAAAAAATTCTTGCCAGCTATTCCTTGGACAAAAGACTGATATATAGAATATACATAGAACTGAAAAGATTCAAGTCCCCCAAATTTAAAGACCCAATCCAAAAGTGGGCATTGAAAATGAATAGAGATTTGTCAGAGGAAGAAGTACAAATGGCAAATAAACATATAAAAAAAGTTCAAAGTCACTAGTCATTTGAGAGACGCAAATTAAAACATTGCTGAGATCCCATCTCACTTCCAAAAGAATGGCTATTATCAAAAAATCAACCAATAACCAATGCTGGAGGGACTGTGGGGAAAAAAGGAACTCTTTTCCACTGTTTGTGGGAGTGTAGACTGGTGCAACCACAGTGGAAATCAGTGTGGAGATTCCTCAAAAAACTAGGAGTAGAGAGGTTCCATTCGACTCAGCTACCTGTCTTCTTGGTATCTCCCCAAAATAATTAAAAGCATCAAACCACAATGATGTATGCACACCCATGCTCACAGCAGCACAGTTTGTAATAGCTAAGTCCTGGAAATGGCCCAAATGCCCATCAGCTAATGGACAAATAAAGAAAATGTGGGGTTTTTTTATACAATGGATTAGTACTCACCCATAAAGAAGGATAAAGAGACATTTCTAGATAAATGGATGGACCTAGAGACCATATACTTAAGTGAAATAAATCAGACACACATGTGTAAATATTGCATTATTTCTCTTGTGTGAGAAATTGAAAGTGTAAATAAGGACCAAAATGTATAATAGATATTTTGTGAAACAGGAAGAAAATGTTCAAATGGGAAGGGAAAATAGTGAGGGGGAGGGGAAAAGGAAGAAAGGGAAAAGAAAAAAATGAGAAAAGAGATAAAGTGGAAACAAAGTTTTGTAAATAAGAAGGGGAAGAGGAGTAGAAGGGAGGGGAGGAGACTGGGGGAAAATAAAAGAAATCAAAATATATCATGTACAGGTACAAATCCTATATGATTAATGTGATCATTATGTATATCTAAGCTGTATCAATAAACTTAACAGTAGAAAAGAAAAAGTAAACATAAAATAGAAATGGCAGAGATGATATGAATATTGGGAGAAAAATGTACAGATATGATGGCCAACTATCTATAAATTCTTTAAATTATATGCTTAATACAACTATAATACTAATAAAATATAAATTGGAAAAAATAAAAAAACCAACAGACACCCTACATCAGAGCAAGCTAATAAAAGATTCCCTGATGAGATCAATAATGAGACAAGGAAAACTTCAACACTTCCACCGCATGCTAGACTATGGACCCTACCCATGGGAACAAAGTTGATAGGGCTGAGTAGATAGACAGATACATAATAGATAATAGATAAGCAGAAAAATAAACAAAGCTCAGAAGTAGTAGAAGGGAAAGCAAACTGTTAATATTCACAGCTGACATGGAAGAACTTAAAAAAATCAAAAGATGTATAATTAATTATAATTAATTAATTAAAATTAACTGTTGTAGTCAGGGTTTGCAGAGGAAACAATTTAATACAGGACATATAATTTGTAGAATTACTTTATTGTATTCACCCAAAGAGTCAGACGCAAGAGTGCGGGAGATCTGTTCATACACGAGAGACCCAAAGAATCCAGCTGAGGGCCTTGATCCCACAGCAATGTCCAGCTGAAGACCTAGAGCCCATAGCAACGTCTCATGCATGTTTGTACCAAGGATCTGCACTGAGAAGGCCCAAAGACCAGTGGTGAAAGCTAGGAAGTCTGTGCCAGCGGGGTGAAAGATCTGTGCCAGCAGCCTGAGGGATCTGCACTGGAGCCAGGAAGTGATGCTCAAAGTAAGGACGAGAGCTCCCCTAAAAAGGACTGCAGCCATCCTCAGTGACAGCAAGGATCCGAGCTCCTCCGATGATGAGAACAGCTGAGATCATATCAGGAAAACCAGTGTGACAAGCTTCACCAGGAGAATCAACAGCACCCACCTTCCTCTCCAGTTTTCCTTTTTTGCTCTTGGCAACAATCCTCAGGTGGTCTGTCCACACCCAGCACCATCCTGATTCAGTTCAGCTGAGTGTTCCAAGTTAACCATTAAATAATCTACCACATTAACGTGCTATCAAATAAAAGGCAAATAATCAAAAACAACTTTCTACTGCCAACAAGATTATCTGAAAAGACATCTATATCAACATCAATGCAAAATTCCAGATGTCTTCAAATAAATATGACAAATGTATGAACCTTTAAAGCCAAATAAAATATAAATAAATATAGAGAAATACTATGTTTATAGATTGAAAGGCATAATGCTATACAGATGATAATTCCTCCAAAGCTCACCTGTAGATAAAATGCATCCTTATAAAAATTTTGGTGAGATTTTGTTAGCAAATAATGATTCTAAAATTTACACAAATGGAAAGAATCAAGAATTGTCAAATGTCTAAAAAGATGCAGTACAAGGTTGAACACAAATAGGACAAAAGAAACAAAATTGGAGGATCCACACTGATATCAAGGTTTATTATAAAGCCATGGAATTTGGTGTAAGACAGCCAAATATCCTGATGATATAACAACAGAGTCAAGTAACAAAATCCAAATATATGTAGTTAATTGATTTATGGCAAAATGTGTAATGACAAAAAGTATGGGCTTTTCACTGGAAGATGCCAAATCAATTGTGCATTTGTATGCAAAAAATGAATCTTGATCCTTTACTTCATACCATAGTAAATACAGGTGGAATTGTAGATCTAAATGTGAAAGTAAAATTGTAAGTCTCCTAAAGGAAAATATTGAGCAAATTTATTTGTGACCTTAGGATAAACATTGATTTTTTTTAAGGGATACAAAAATCCAAACAAATACCCAAAAAATGCTAATCAAAAGGGAAGCACTTGATATACGCTACCACATTAAAATGAGAAACGTTTATCAGAACACATGAACAAAGGAAAGCCTTATCAAAGTAGAAAGGCAGACCATGCACAGGAAAAAGATATTTGTAATACATATGTCACAGAAATCATTTATCAAAACTATATTAAAAATTCTCACAACTAAATTTGAGATAGACTGTCCCCAAGAAAAACGTATAAAAGGTTTGAACTAGTACTTCACAACAAGAGAATAGCTAAATGGAGACAACATATGTATAGTAGTCCAACCTCAGTAATCAACAGGGAACATCAAATTAAAAGCACAATTTGATAGGACTTCACACACAACAGAACTTCTCAGAAAAGAAGCAGCATAAATGACAACAAATGTTGTACAGAATGATCACATTCAGCAGGTACAGTTTCCAAGAGCCATTCTGGAAACTCCTGAGCAAACACACATGAACTGTTGCTCTCACCCTTAGGAATATACTGAACATAATTACGTATGTCCAACAGAAATGCATGCAAGAAGACACAGAACTACTATTCATAATACCCAAGTAACTGAATATAACAAAAATATTTACTAATAACAATAAACTGGGATATATCCACGCAATAGCAGAACACTAAATACAAGTGAAAATGAGGGGCTGGGGATTTAGCTCAGCGGCAAAAGCGCCTGCCTGGCAAGCGCAAGGTCGTGAGTTCGGTTCCCGGTACCGGAGAAAAACCAA